TAAGGTTTAATTCAGGGCTTTCTCACTGTTAGTATTGTAAAACTGCTGTTGGCTTCAGTGTTTACTTTGTAGAGTGTGTAATCTCATAAACATAACATTAACATGACTCCGAAGGTCAGACATTATATATTTACTGGATTAATCAGACAAATGACATTTCAGTTGCTGGGTAATACCATGTTTGTTAATGCAATTGGATTTTTAAAATGGATAAATGTAAGTGGTGAAATGTGCATTTGAGGAACATAATAGTAAATCTTGCATTTGGTACAGTGCCTTATGTTGTCGAGATGACTCAAAGCGCTTCACAGGATATACTGTAAAATGGATTGACTATGTATTTTGTGTGTGAAACACGACAGCTAATTGCACACAGCAATGTCCCACAACAGGCATGATTGACCAATTTTACTTGGGTAAATTGTTGGCCAGGACACCAGGAGAAACTTCCTACTCATTTTGAATAGTGCTCATTTTAATGACCACCGGAACAGGTAGTTGGGACATTGGTCTAACATGTCATCTAAAGGAAGTCATTTCCACTCAAGCTGAAAGTATAGGAAATATTAGCTTTCTGCTAGTGGAAATCAATTATAGGATATATGTGTGTGTCATTGATTACTATATGTTTTAAGTACTGTTTTTGACCTAAATGTGGAGTTCAATAACTTCACATGTAAATTCCTAGTTCTGTGCCTATAACAGAAAGCGAGACTGCCTATAAAAGTGATTGTAGCAATATAATAGTCCTTGCATTTGATTTAGTGCTTTTCGCATCAAAAGGATGTCTCTAGGCACTTCACATGACATATTGTAAAGTGGTGTGATTGTAAATCCTGTGGGCGAATGGGATAGATAATTTTGCACACAGCAATGTCCCATAAACAACCATGAAGTGAATGATCAATAGATTGTTGACCAGGACACCGGAAGAAACTCCCTTCTCTTTTCGAACGGTACCATGAGGTCTTTAACATCCACCTGAACAAACAAACGGGACCTCGGTTTAGCAACTCATCTGAATGACGGCATCTCTAAAATACAGCACTCCATCAGCCCTGCATTGGAGTATCAGCCTAGACTGTGCGAGTTCAAAATCCCAACATGGGGCTTCAACCCACAGCCTTCCGACTCTTGCCTCTTTCCACCTTAAGTCGTCTTGCTGACATGAAAGGTATTAAACGTAACTTATACTGTATTGTTGGAGTGCTATCAACTGAGCTAAATTGTGTTACAAAGATTATAACTCTGGAACACTCCCTCAATCCCTCCGCCTTGCCCCTTTTCCAAGTCCCGCCTGAAAACCTTCCTTTTCGACCGTGCTTACAGTCACCTCCCCACGCCAACCACCCACCCCCACCCTCCTCCACCACTGGCTTGGAGTCAGGCTCTGCCACTCTGAGATGCTACCCTGTGTGTTGTTGTATAAGCTAAATTGCTTCAGCTCTGCCCCACCCACAAAGCAACATGGGCCACCACATTTTAATACAAATACCTATTATTAACATTAGATTTTCTCATCTCACTATCACTATGTGAATTGCATTAATGCAGCACTTTTGTGGAGGGCCATGGGGAGCTGCAAAGCTTATGAAGTCTACAATGGGTGTACTGTACTCACAAAATCTGGCAGGACATCCAGCATTGGCAATATTCTTTATTTCATTCACATACCAATTACTCAGTGCAACATTGAAAATAAGCATCAACCACATAATAATCCACATTACCTCATCCACGTTATTCATACATTCAAGTTTAAAAATATCAATGCAGAACATGTTTTCAAACTACAGAACAATAACATGCATCTTAAAAAACACAATCTAATTGATTAGAACACTATCTTTTCCAAAATCTTTCACATGTTAGCCAGGTGTCTATGTATTTGAAAGTGATCCAGCAAACATGGAAGTTATATATTTGAAACTTAATAGTCGACATTGAGTCAAATGTGAAGCCACTGCCGTTTAATTGTGGAGGTAGAACACATTATTTTTGTTTTAGGTTATAACTTTCCTCCAAATATACTAGGGCGGCATAACAGTTGGATATAATGAAAGATAACAGGTGCACAAAATGAACATGTCATGGAGAAGGATTTGGTAATCGTTTCGTAAACTGCTGACAATCTGAGCAGTTTACAAAACAATTTCTAAGAGTCGAGGCCGTATTATTGGCATAGATTCACTAATTGTGCAGATTCACTTCTAACAATACTTCATAATAATTTTTCAAAATTCAGACAGAATCATTATGGTTCAGAATCATAATATATAATTTGTAACATTTTTATTGTTAATTATTCATACTACAATATAAAACCACTTGTTTGTTATAATTTCTTACCTAATTATACTGCAATAACTTGCACTTAATAATGTCTTTCATGTACCATAACACATCTCAAAGTGTTTCACAGAGATGATGGGAAATACTGGAAGAAGGAAGGAGAAGTTAAACGCATTCATGAAATGCATGGCCAAAGAAACATCTTTTAAGGGAGAGATAGGACAAAGTGAGAGGTGCTACATAGATGCAAGTTGTTGTTGTTATCAACTGGACATAGCTCAAAAGACAGTTTTTTTGCTGTCGCTATTGAGAATTAATTTCTGTGCTCTTTGGCTGTACATTTTTCAACACATTATTTAATTCTATTTATTAAAATAAATCTCATTCTATTTCAATTGGGGATATGTCATCCTGGCTCAGTTGGTTGCACTCTTGCTTCTGAGTCAGAAGGTTGTGAGTGGAGTGCCGGTGGTGTGCAATCCTTTGGGGTGAGACATTAAACTGAGGTCCTGCCTGCTTGTTCAGGAGAATATTAAAGATCCCATGACCCTACTCAGAATGTGAAGGGTGTTACTCCCCGTGTTCTAGCCAAGAATCTTCCAGATAAGATGCAAAGCAACCCTCATTCTGTTCTTGGCTGTTTGTGTGGATCCTGTCGTGTACAAATTGTCCGCATTTTACTACGAAATACACATTACAATGATTCATGTGAAGCACTTTGAGACGTCCTGACGATATGAAAGGCACTATATCAAACGCAAGCATTATGATAGATCAATGTCACAATGTTACATTGAGAGAATGTACAAATGGCCTAAATTATTCTCTGCTTTGCATGTTNAAAAAAACATTTGGGCTTGTTTTACATCACATATTATTTGCATTATAGTATACAATAAGATTCTGAAGGTAGTGAATCCAGTCCAAACCAATTCAATCCTCTGCCACTGGATGCAACTTACAGCACTGAGGCTCAGATTCTGTCCTACAATCCTATATTTTTTTTGCTCTCATGCTGTGAAGACCTTGTATGGTGAACAGAAATAATCTGATAAATGGGGAGCAGGGGAGGGGGGTGGGGAGAGGGAATGCTTAAAGCAGTGATTTAATGCAACATTGCTTGGACAAGTGTGAGATTCTTTGTATTGCTGTTGCTCCCACGAGACTCTGACTTACTGGAGACTGACGATGCACTTAATACGTGTAAAAAATGAGATGTTAAAGACAATAAAAACAATTGCATCCTAATACATAAATTGTTAAACTGTCTTCCTACAGCATTTGGAGGAATCCAGAACTTTGCAGATTAACAGATATTTGATTTCTAAACAAACCATTTTCTTTTATTGCACAGACTCTTTTAGATAAACAAGTCTTTAAACCTGTCTCACTGATTTAACCCAACTGTTAACAATAATAATCGTTGGATTTGACATAGCATCTTTTCTGTGGAGAGGATATCTCAAAGGGCTTCACAGGAATAACTGTAAAGTGTAGTGACAGTATTTTTGTAGGTGAACGTAGCAATAAATTTATAATAATAATGAATTTGACATATTACCTTATCACATCACAATCAAACAACCACAAAGTGAATGCCCTATTAAAGCTGGGAGATTGTTGGCCAGGACGGAGACGGGGTGGGGGGAGGAATGTAAGAGGAACTCTTTGCTCTTTTCCAAATGTTGCAGCGGGAATCTTTAAACATCCGCCTGAACAGGACAGGTCACAGCTCGGCTTAACGGGGGAAAGAATCTGCCCCCAAGCCAAAGAAAAGCAACGGAGCACACACAACTTTTTTTTTCGGGTCAGCCGGGTGTCTGGCACATGCGGAAACGTTCCGTGAAGCGCTTTGAGGCGTCTCGAGGACGTGATATAAGGCGCCATATCAAATGCAAGGACGGTTATTATTATTGTTAGTGATATTATTATTATTATTATCTCATGGGAATCCCAGAGATGGATTGTTGGAATGGAGTAAAGCAAACAGACACAACTGCAAGTGGTGGCCACCGTGGGCGCCCTTCACCAGCAATAAGACCCTCAGTGCAACCCACTGACGCACAGAGGGGATAAATAGTTTTGCCCCAATGGTCCAATTAAGATCTGCAGAAAGTCGAGCAGCGGCATAGATCCCTTAGGGGGGGGGTCTGCAACCTAATGCACTCAACCTAATGTACAGCCACACACCCCCCCAAGTGATTTGCACAAATATCACAACAAACGCAGTTATAAACTGCAAATAAAACCACTTGACGTTACTCCCGGCGCACACACTACACACACACACACATTATATATATATATATATATATATACATATATATATATACATAAATCCCTGTTTTTTGCAACATCTTTCAAGCATTTGCACAAATATATACATAAGAAAGAAAAAGAAAAAAAGAAAGCAAGAAAGCAAGAAAGCAAGAAAGCAAGAAAGAAAGAAAGCAAGAAAGAAAGAAAGAAAGAAAGAAAGAAAGAAAGAAAGAAAGAAAGAAAGAAAAAGAAAGAAAGAAAAAGAAAGAAAAGAAAAAGCAATGAAAAGGAACACAGGGGCTGCAGTTTGCAATGCAGTCGGACAGCTCCTTCTGACGCAGATTTGGCTTAAGTTTTCGTGGCGACTTAACCGCTGGAGACAGACAGACAGAGAGAGACAGAGAGAGAGACACAGACACACAACACAACCCTATGACAATACGACTTACTTGGTGTTTTGTTTTTGACTCCGGAAATCTTACTCCTCAGCTCGCGGGTTGTCCATCAGATCAGAAGTCCACCCTGAACTGTTGCACATCACTTTAGTGACAGTGGAGGGGTTTTTTTTTTTGGAGGAGGGGGGGTGGGGATGAAATTTTTTCCCCCCCTTTTCTTTTTTTATTATCCTGGTGCTGTTTGACCTCAATTTGATAGATGGGGATCCAAACACCGCCCCAAAAAATACAGATATACCCCGAAGCGGCGGCTCCCGGGAGGTGTTTGAGTGCGTTGTTGCTGCTGTGGTGGTGGCGGTGGTACTGTCCATCAGTGAACCTCTCAACAGCGCTCAGTGTCTCCAAACCTCAAAGAGTCGACGCACAAAGTCGCGGTTCCTTCTCTTTCTTCCCCTCTCCAGAGACTCAGCCACAAACCCTCAGCCCCCAAAGGACTCGGGGACCTGACTGTCCTCTTGGCTTTCCTCGTGTTCCCGCCGGGTTTCCGGGTTTTTTTCCCCCCTTTCCTGACGGTGTTTGTGTGAAGTTGGGATTAACCCCCAAATGAAGCGCTCTCACCCACAGCCACAGCTTCACACCCGGAGCTCCTCCTCCGCCCTCCAGCACTGAGTGACTGAGATCAGCTCTGCTCACCTGCTCCCTCCCTCCCTCACACTCCCTCCCTCACACCCTCACCCTCACTGTCCCTCACCCCGTCACCCTCACTGTCCCTCACACCCTCACACCCTCACACTCACCCCCTCACTGTCCCTCACACCCTCACACTCACTGTCCCTCACACACTCACACCCTCACTGTCCCTCACCCTCACACCCTCACTGTCCCTCACACCCTCATCCCCTCCCTCCCTCACCCTCACTGTCCCTCACACACTCACACCCTCACTCACTGTCCCTCACCCTCACTGTCCCCCCTCCCTCCCTCACCCTCACCCTCACCCTCACTGTCTCCCCCCTCCCTCCCTCCCTCCCCCTCACCCTCACTGTCCCCCCCTCCCTCCCTCTCACCCTCACTGTCCCCCCCCTCCCTCCCTCTCACCCTCACTGTCCCCCCCTCCCTCCCTCACCCTCACACTCACCCTCACTGTCCCCCCTCCCTCCCCTCACCCTCACTGTCCCCCCTCCCTCCCCCTCACCCTCACTGCCCCCCCTCCCTCCCTCTCACCCTCACTGTCCCCCCTCCCTCCCTCACCCTCACACTCACCCTCACTGTCCCCCCTCCCTCCCCCTCACCCTCACTGTCCCCCCCTCCCTCCTCTCACCCTCACTGTCCCCCCTCCCTCCCTCACCCTCACACTCACCCTCACTGTCCCCCCCTCCCTCCCCCTCACCCTCACTGCCCCCCCTCCCTCCCTCTCACCCTCACTGCCCCCCCTCCCTCCCTCTCACCCTCACTGTCCCCCCCTCCCTCCCTCACCCTCACACTCACACTCCCCCTCACTGTCCCCCCTCCCTCCCTTCCCCTCCCCCTCACTGTCCCCCCTCCCTCCCTCACCCTCACCCTCACCTCACTGTCCCCCCCTCCCCCCTCCCTCCCTCACCCTCACACTCACCCTCACTGTCCCCCCCTCCTCCCTCCCCCTCACCCTCACTGTCCCTCCCCCCTCCCCCTCACCCTCACCCTCACTGTCCCTCACACCCTCACACTCACACCCTCACTCACTGTCCCTCACACCCTCACACTCACACCCTCACTCACTGTCCCTCACCCTCACACCCTCACTGTCCCTCACACCCTCACACTCACACCCTCACACTCACTCCCTCACACCCTCACACTCACACCCTCACTCACTGTCCCTCACACCCTCACACTCACACCCTCACACTCACTGTCCCTCACCCTCTCACCCTCACTGTCCCTCACTCTCACACCCTCACACCCTCACTGTCCCTCACCCCCTCACACCTTCACCCTCACACCCTCACCCTCATCTTCACACCCTCACACTCACACTCACCCTAACTGTCCCTCACACCCTCACCCTCACTGTTCCTCACCCTCATCCCCTCACCCTCACTGTCCCTCACCCTCACCCCCTCACTGACCCTCACCCTCACGCCCTCACCCTCACACCCCCTCACCATCACTGTCCCTCACACCCTCATCCCCGTCACCCTCACACCCTCATCCTCACACCATCACCCCCTCACCCTCACTGTCCCTCACCCTCACACCCTCACACCGTCACCCTCTCACCCTCACCCCCCCAACCTCACACCCTCACCCTCACCCCCTCACTGTCCCACACCCTCACACCCTCACCCTGACTGTCCCTCACCCTCACAGCCTTACCCTCTCTCACCCTCACTGTCCCTCACCCCCTCACTGACCCTCACCCCCTCACCCTCACTGTCCTCACACCTTCACCCTCACTGTCCCTCACCCCCTCACAACCTCACACTAACACCCTCACTGTCCCTCACCCTCTCACCCTCACACCCTCACTGTCCCTCACACCAACACCCTCACTGTCCCTCACCCTCACCTTCACTGTCCCTCACACCAACACCCTCACTGTCCCTCACAACCTCACACCAACACCCTCACTGTCCCTCACCCTCACCTTCACTGTCCCTCACACCAACACCCTCACTGTCCCTCACACCCTCACCCTCACTGTCCCTCACAACCTCACACCAACACCCTCACTGTCCTCACACCAACACCCTCACTGTCCCTCACACCCTCACTGTCCTTAAACCAACACCCTCACTGTCCCTCACACCCTCACTGTCCCTCCCCCTCACTGTCCCTCACACCCTCACTGTCCCTCACACCCTCACTGTCCCTCACACCCTCACTGTCCCTCACACCCTCACTTCCCTCACACCCTCACTGTCCCTCCCTCTCACTTCCCTCCCTCTCACTGTCCCTCCCACCAACACCCTCACCGTCCCTCACACCCTCACCTTCACTGACCCTCACACCAACACCCTCACTGTCCCTCACACCAACACCCTCACTGTCCCTCACACCAACACCCTCACTGTCCCTCACACCAACACCCTCACTGTCCTCACACCAACACCCTCACTGTCCTCACACCAACACCCTCACTGTCCCTCACACCCTCACCTTCACTATCCCTCACACCAACACCCTCACTGTCCCTCACACCAACACCCTCACTGTCCCTCACACCCTCACCCTCACTGTCCCTCACACCCTCCCCTTCACTGTCCTCACACCAACACCCTCACTGTCCTCACACCCTCATCCTCACTGTCCTCACACCAATACCCTCACTGTCCCTCACATTAACACCCTCACTGTCCCTCACACCCTCACCCTCACTGTACTCACACCAACACCCTCACTGTCCCTCACACCAACACCCTCACTGTCCTCACACCAACACCCTCACTGTCCCTCACACCCTCACCCTTACAACCTCATCCTCACACCCTCACCCTCACTGTCCCTCACACCCTCACTTCCCTCATTGTCCCTCACACCCTCACTGTCCCTCCCCCTCACTTCCCTCCCCCTCACTGTCCCTCCCACCAACACCCTCACTGTCCTCACACCCTCACTCTCACTGTCCCTCACACCAACGCCCTCACTGTCCTCACACCCTCACCCTCACACCCTCACCCTCACTGTCCCTCACACCCTCACTGTCCCTCACACCCTCACTGTCCCTCACACACTCACTGTCCCTCACACCCTCAACTGTCCCTCACACCCTCATTGTCCTCACACCAGCACCCTCACTGTCCCTCACACCAACACCCTCACTGTCCCTCACACCCTCACCCTCACTGTACTCACACCAACACCCTCACTGTCCCTCACACCAAGACCCTCACTGTCCTCACACCAACACCCTCACTGTCCTCACACCAACACCCTCACTGTCCCTCACACCCTCACCTTCACTGTCCCTCACACCAACACCCTCACTGTCCTCACACCAACACCCTCACGCTCACTGTCCCTCACACTAACACCCTCACCCTCACTGTCCCTCACACCAACACTCACACCCCTCACACCAACACTCACACCCCTCAATGTTCCGCACACTAACACTCACACCCCTCACTGTCCTCACACCAGCACTCACACTAACACTCACATCCTCACTATGGGTCTCACTAATACTCACACCCTCACTGCGGCTCGTACTAACACTCTAATAAATAGATCAAGACAAATCTATAATCTAAAGTCTCATATCAAAGAAGTGACTTGGCCAAAAATATACGATTTATGGCTTGTTGGATGGATAGTGCAGAGATTTGCTTGATTTACCTTTAAAGGAAAACAGTGCAGAAACCTTCCTCAGGTTGTTATGGTTGTTAAAAGAAACAGAGGGGAGATGAGTTTTTCGGATCTGGAATACATTGCCTGAAAGAGTGGTGGAAGCCGATTCAATAACAACTTTTTAGAGAGAAGTAGATAGTTATTTGGGGAGGACAAATTTGCAGGGCTAAGGGGAGAGAGCAGAGGAGTGGGATTGATTTGGATAACTCTTTTAAAAGAACTGGCACAGACACGATGGGCTGAATGGCCTCCTTCTGTGCTGGGTATTTCTATGATTCTATGATTCTAGGTGATTAATACCCTGCTTATACTATGGGAAGGAAAGCTATATTCCTTCCACCAGCAGAGGGAAATGGAATGTGAACTCTAATTTATATGTTGCTGCCTGTTTGTAAAGACGATAGTTTTTCACTCGGGGTCCTGGCCACCAAACCCAAACAAAAGTGTTCTTTCAGTTCATAGCTATTTGTCGGACATTGCTGAGCACAAATTAGCTGCTGTGGTTGCCTACGAAATAAATAGTCACTGTACTTTACAATAAATTCTATGAAGCACTTTGAGACAACATGAACAATATTGTGCTCCTCATGCAGGGTAGAGTCCCAGAGCACTTGACAGTGGTGGAGCACGACGCTGAGCCAGTGGGATGTGACTGTAGACACGGTCAAAGAGGAATCTGAAGATGGGGAAGAAAGGAGCAAGGCGGAGTGATAGAAGAACAGTGTTCCAGAGTTTCTGGGCTTAGTGGCTGAAACCGGCCACTGATGGTAGAACAGAGCGCACGAGGTACATCCAGGAGACCAGAGCCAATCGAA